ATGCTGAGCACTCGATCTGGTATCATCAATAGCGAGATTCCAATTATCCCCAAGTTAGTATTTTAACTTAAATCACACTTCCATAGTTACTATCTCTTTTAGAATTCAAAAATCAATTCAAAATTTAGAGAGACAGGAGATAAGAGAAATTTATGTTAAATATGTACATTATGTAATTATAAAGATAAATACATAATTATAAAAAATAGCTTTACATTAAAAATATCATACATACACATACATATATATCTTTTAATATTTCATATTATAATTTCTGATCTTGTAATTTATAATTATTGGAATTTTAAAATTACAATTGTTGCAATTCATATTATATTACAACTTTTATATTATTATTTGCAATCAATAATCCATTATTATTTATAATAATAAGTTATTTCATACGATGCAATTAGGGATATCAAACTCTTGAATGGAATGTTTGATCGATCATTCTCTGTCACAAAAGTGAGTTATCAGGATGATTTTACTATCAAGCAAACTACGAGTCATAATAAAACGGTTCAGAATTGTTCTGCGAATAATAAGCGATTTTATTCACGGGGATGAATTGCCGAGTTATATCGAAATAGAAGACGATGAGGAAGAGGACAAGTATGATTGGATCATTGGTCGACCGACTTTTGGAATCAATTGAATTAAAGGTCAGAATAAATTATATATATTAATATCATATTAAATATTGTGCAATTACAAATAATAAATTTTGTATATAATTTGTATAAATGTTATAGGTTGAGCATTCGCGTCTATGCTTTTCATTCTCTTTCTTGTCCCAAAAACTCGAAAACTTTAAAAATATTCGCATTCATTTGCTTCAAATATTGCGACATTCGTAAATAATTTTCTCGTGATGAAAGAACATAAATACATTTTCTTAATTTATGATATAAATATATAATGATATTAATAAATATACATTTAAGCGCGAAGATATCTTGGCGAAAAAAATATAATTCTTCTGATCGTACAATAATCAATTATTCCGCGATACTTGTTTGAATCTTGCCTTAGATGGTAGTCGATTGTTCCCCGATATTGCTTAACTCTGTTTCGTTATAGATGGTAACTCAATTATTCTTCGACTCGGACGAGCATTCAATTATTCCCCAAAGGACGAAAGGACATCGTGCGAGCGACGCGCCTCGCGTAGCCTCACCGGGGTATTCTCGCGCGCCTTCACGAGATGTCTTTGTAGCACGACGGAGGCGTGAATGGCACGGTGGGCCAGGAGGCCCAATTACGAGTTTATTCAGTCGTCGCCACGGGGCATCGCGGTGCCGCTCGTAGGCACCTACCTGGCGCCTGTCCCTTTATCTCCAAGGTAAGAGCGAGAAAGAACAGCACGTCTCGAGTGAGTGAGACGGGTGGAGGGGCGGGGGGGGAGGCGCAACGTTGAAACGCGGAACGGGGGGTAGAGAGAACGTGAGGACGTCTCTGCGGGATTCCCGCCGCCACTTATGGGAATGTGATACGAGCTTTTCGTCGGATGCTCTCTTGCGTTTTCGCATTGTTACGCAACCGTCCTTCTCGCGTCCGCGTCACCCTCGTGCACCCCGACAAAGGGAATCAATGTCAATGCGCGCTGCGCCTTGCCGCGTACACGACGACGGGAGAATGCGGAGAGGGAGAAGCGCCGAAATAATGATCGCGAGCGTGTAATAAGCGCGCAAATGCGTGTGAATGCAAACCGAATCGGACCGTTGTATGTTATGTTGTAATGATTGCGCGAGGCATCGAGAGTTTATGTCTCGCGAACCGGTCAATTTTTTAATAACATTCGGTTTTCATCATTTTATTATCATGTCGCTAGATTTCTGGAAACTGCTATATTTATTATCACATTCCTTCATCTCGAAATATTAACATTCGTTTAATTCTAAGCATTTTTAATTAATTAAATTTATTTAATTAATGATATACCTATACTGCTTAACTAACTTAACTTTTATATAATACTTTTTTAATGAAAATTTGATTTTAATGAAGTTTTGTGTCTGCTCTTCTAAAATAATTGTTGTCTTGCTAATATCACGCAATTAAATTGTGTTAAAAAAATATAAAATTATTTTACAGGTCCTTGCATACGTATAGGTATATATTTTTTCTCGATTTATGTTTCCCTTTTTATTCATTTTTCATAAAGCTGTTTACATCGTGTTCAATCAGATACGCGAAATAAACTGACGATAAGTACGTCGGAACGATTACAGATCGACGCGGACTTGTCCCATCAGCAAGATCGAGCGATCGATTTGGTAGCTCTTTACGGTGAATCCCCAGGAGAATCCCTTAGACATCGCATTATGGTGTCAACGACTTCATCGCGGACCACAAACCGCTGGTATCCGTGTGTCAGGGATGAATGGCGACACGCCACGGGTGGCAGGGAGATGCGTACAATCCGAATAAAATGTATCAATTCCGTCATCGTGATGCCGGGCTTCCTCGAGATTCGATTGTGATGCGCTTTACGAAGGAAGGAAGTCTCGCGCAACGGACTTCTTTTTATTATTACGTGAAGAAAAACTTGCGACACAATATTATATTGCTAAACTCCGTATATAAATATAAAGCAGGATAAATATGTAAATTACACAACGAGCGAGAATATTGTTAAACAAATCATCAGGTGCAAGTGATGTATACATTTTTGTCTAAATAATTATAATCATATCGATTTAAATCTCCAATATATTTATTAATATATTTATTAATATATTTATTAATAATATTAATGAGGAAGAATCTGAGCATATAAAGATTACTCTCGCTTATGTAAGAGGCAGTCCGTTTGAAGTTGCATCCGTCGGTGCTGCACTGCCGTCGGTGCATCGAGATGAATGCAAGATTCTGCTTTACAAGATAGTTTCTTTACGTCAGATCTTCTTCAATAATTCTTGCTTTGTTGATTGTCATTCAATGCGTCGAATTAACGCGTCTTTGTAACATAATACACGATTGCAAAACGATTGCTGTAACTGAAAAAGTCAACGGATAATTTCAAAAGGACAGATTTTTCCCCCAACGCGTTCGCATTCGTCTTTTTTCAAGTTCAAATGGTACTTGTCTACTACGTCGTAGGAAGGGCAGCAAAAAGGGCGGAAGGGTTCCACCTTGGGCATTCTGGTAATCGAAAAATGTGTCAATCTCACGTCAGGCCCTTCGCAGAAAAATTCTCTCAAGTGATATATGGGAAAAATATATGTGTCACACATGCATTATTTTAAGGTTGTTTTTTCAAAAAATTTTAACCTAATCTAACCTAACCTAACCACCTGAAAAAACAAAACGTCGCGACAATTTCCTGCTTGTACTACGTGATTGTTTATATTCGTTATATGATTTGCCGATGAATGGCATCAATAGAGAAACCGCAGGTTCTACTATATGATATTTGAAAATGCTGTCAGGTCTCTGTATTTTGAAAATTTTTAGCTTTTAGAGAATTTTATTCTAATTACAAACAAAAAATCTTGTTCAAATAATATTTTTATTCATTTCTTTTCTTGACAAATTTATTTTCATAATTTATTTTTATAATTAATCTCGTGATCGAAATTAATTATAAAAATAATCTTTTCTAGGAAATTCAAGAAATGATAAAAGTTTCTTTTCATTTTTATAATTTATTTCAATTTCAATTTTTTCTAATTCTAAAAAAATTTAAGAATCATCATGTTTATCTCTTATTTTTTCCAGGTTTTTTTTCGGATATGAGAGAGATATTGTAAAGAGTCGCACCTATTCGCCGTCGTCGCTTTCTTACGTAAAATCGGACGAGGTCGGCGATTTCACTGCAGCAAGGAGACTGCGGGACGTGTGTTATTCCAGCCCGAATACAACGACGAGCGTACAGTGCCTTAAGTAACGCAAAAACGCAAGCGAGCGCTCTGTCCGTGAAACTTTATCCAACTTCTGTTGTAAGTAGCTTCTAAGCGACGTACCTTTCTTCCGTGGGGGCGTTCATAAACCCCCGCGAGTGCTATATAAATCGATTTTTCCCCGGGGAGGATAAGCCGTTGCCTTCCCTTCCCTCTCTCTCTTCGCGCTCCTCTCTCAACCCTCTCCATCTTCCTTCTCATTCTTACGCCAACGCGCCCAATAGGTCGACGCTAATAACGAGATCTTTAATGTGCTTCCCATTTATTTTCTTACGCGCGTTTTTCCTTGTAACTTGTAATGAATAATAATGCCGCGACATGACAGCTCGTTTGACTCGTGACAATGCCTGTTGACAGAGCGATGACGTCACAAACGATTGTTTTTATCGGCGCTATTAATTTCCTAGATATAAATTTACCACGATGAATCTGACTTGATATTCTCTCGCTTGGACAAACCTGTTTTCTTCCAAATATCGCATTATATTCTTTACTCTCATCTCTATTTTATCTCTCGTTTAATCTTAGCTGTAATAAATCTCACGATGCAAATATCAAGCTGCGCAACAATAACGACGATACGTTGTTTGATTCTTAGCCCAGTCACACTGATTGGCAAGCAACACCGGATAACGGTGAAAAACTGTGTTTTGTACGTCATCGCGTAATTTGGAGATTTATATTCGGATGTAACATTTGCCACGCATATCGACGTAAAAGTCGTCGTCGTCCCGGCTTGCGCGTCATTAAGAGAACAGACATCCAGAGAAGTCCGGAATTTAACGAGCTCCTCGGAAGGATCCGCGGTCTGGATGCAATTCGCTCGCGTGTCTCCTCTCTCCCTCTCTATTTCTCTCTCTACGCGCTATAGCACGCTCGCGCCGGATGTTCGTAACGAGGCTCATTTGGTGGCGCGCGCGCGCGACCAATGGCGCGGCGGTATGGTGGCGGTATGGTGTCCAGCGTCCAATAGCGTCGCGCGTCACGCAGCTGTCAGCGTGGCCACGCCCATCGCCGCACCGCGCCGCACCGCGCATGACGCGCTCGGCTCGTCTCGCCGACACGCCGCATCGCCAGTCCCTTCTGGTGCGCGCGCGAGGAGAGTGTCTCTCTCTCGCGTGGCTGCGAGAGAGACAGAACGGCCCATTGATCCGCCGCCTCGAGGCTGCCTCTCGTCCCGAGTGATCTGGAATCGCGATCGGAATCGCTTTGAAAGACGATCTCGCACGCGAGTCGAGTAGTCGTGCGTTCGGCAAATTCGAGAACGAAAGAGAAGTAATCGCGAGAAACTTGCTTTCCCGAGCATCGTCGGTTTGTTCTCTTCTCTCTCTCTCTCTCTCGATAAGGTATACTTTTCAAATCGCGCGCTGTGTGTGGCCGAGTGTCTCGATCGTGAGTCGTCGAACGGGTGGAATCTTCCGGCACACTTTGTACAAAGCCGAAGGCGCGGTCTTGAAAAAGACTACGATTGAATCTCGCTCGAAGATTGGTCGGACAAGATTATCGGCTTCTTAGATCACGTTGAAAGTTTGTCAGAGTGCGACAGAGTTTCTCGCGTAGTGCAGAGAATATGAGACTTCAGCTCCCGAAGAATCGTCTTATTAAGGAAAGAGCGAGAGAGAGAGGGATATTCTGCTTCTCTCGAACGCATAAGCGGCGTTAAATTGTCGAGAGGTGTTCGAGAAGGTGGCAATCGGAAGGTGCGAGCGATTTGATGACATTTTCGAGAAGAGGCGTCGATGGGATTGAAGGAGCGCGGGGGGGACGCTCGTTAAGGCGCCTCTAATAATAGCGGCGCGCTCGCGAGTGTAGCAAGCGATCTATAAATAGCGGTCTCTGGCCCCGTGGAAACACGAGCCCGTGGATTTCACGGTGCAACCTGTGTGCCGACAGCGAAAACGGGAGAGAGAAAAAGGAGGGAATCGCCGAGAGAAGAATCAGCGCGGCCGATTTGGATAAGGCCATCGAGGACTTAATGTACGGATTGATTTGTGAAGTTGAAGAGTTCTCGAGAAGAGTGTGATTTAATCGGCGATTTATATCGTGCGACGAGTATTTCGGAGAATGATCCCGGATCGCTAGAACCCGAGCTAGAACGAGAGACGAAAATCGACAGACGCAGAGATCGTCGTCCAGGATGTGATTCAATTTTCGACTTGGAATCTACTTGTCGCGAGCTACAATACGTCAAACGATATCTAATTTGAGACGAGAGAAATGTTGGGGAAACAACCCACAAGGTTGGAATTTTATTTTATTTATTCTTGATTTTTCTAGAGTGACTTGCGTTGGATCGGAAATCAGTGAGAAAGACAGAGATTCTCTTGAATCCGGGATGAATCGGCCGTCGGCTGGAAGCTAATCGAGACTGATATCGAGAAGAAACTTTTCCATGGAGTTTCCTATTTTACTTTTCCATCGTGATATCTCAGTTCGACTGGTGTGATCCAAAGATATCGTACGTGAAAAGTTTTGACGCAGTCTTAGTGAATGCGATCATCCGAGGGACATCAAAGTGCAACCGTCGAATATCGATGTCTTGGAACAACATCCGATCATTTCGACGCAACCGACACAACCGGTTTATCAAACGGAATGCGAAGAAACTTCACAGTGTTTTCTTTTCTGCTTCGAGTACAGTGCATAGTTTACATACTTAATGTTTCAAATTTATTTAGCATGATTTAATGACACGTGCAACGCTAGAAAAGTACATTTTACGCATTAAACTGGTGATTAGCTTTGACAAACGACTGATAATAAATGTGCTATTGGACTACTATTAATATATACTCGGATCATTAAGTTACTCGAGTTGTTTACGTGGGTTTGATTCCATCGTACGTGCTCTTCATCTTTCACCGTTGACACATCATTGCAAAGTCGCAATTACGCAAGACTGACCCGAACTCTAATCTGACTTATCGATCTTAGTCTTACAATATTTATACTAAAAAAAAAAATATTTGTGGACAGCTAAGTCTCTCCAAGAGATCCCAGATCCCTCGCGATGCCCTCGTCCGGACGCTCCAGGGACTCTCAGTGATACCGCGGAGGGCGATCATCCACCCCAGCGGAAGATGAGCGGCGAGTGAGAGGAAGAGGCTGCCCCCCTCGAGCGACGGGGACCGTCGGGGATCGACATCCGGTCGCGAACGCGAAGCGGGTAGGACGCTCGCGCGGGGTCAGCGGCACGGTGGAGAGCGGTGCCACGGTGCGGGGGGTCGTGGTGGACCCCGGCGATGACACAGCCATGATGGCCTACGGTGGCACCGCTGGTAACGGGGGCGCGATGGGCCCCACGGCCGGTGGCGGCGGCAACGCCGGTGGCGCGGACGTTCTCGGCACCGCCGCCGGCGACTACAGCCCCCAGAGCACGCCCACGCCCTTGACCGGGCACACGACGACGAGCGGCTCGGTGGAGAACGCTTACACCCCCGGCACCACCGGGGCGGCCAGCTACAGTCCTCAGGACAGCCCGGCGAGCTCCGCCGGGGGCAGCGGCAACGGCCAGCTGCCGAGTTTCGGCTTCACCCAGGAGCAGGTCGCGTGTGTCTGCGAGGTAAGTCGTGTCAGGTCGCGCCTCGATCCTTCGAGAGAGCCCCTCCGGTGAGATCGCGGGTCGAGTGACGTGGATTAGAGACGAGAAGCGGTCTCTCGAGGTGCCCGCGGTATCTTCGAAGAGACAAGCGTGATCTTTGATTGTCAAATAATTAAAATGATTTGCGTCGTTTGATATTTAAATTCGAACATTCTTGGCTCGTGACTTATCGGAGGGTCTCTAATATCGCTCGACTCGCGCCTATTGCCATCGGCCGCTCGCTGCTGTCGCGTTAGAAAACGTGATCCATTGACATTCCGATTAAAGTCCACACAGTTCGAGGTATGAACGTAATAGTGTTACACTCGCGATAAACACTAAGATACCAATCTTGAAAATAGTAATATCAAATGTAACATGTTTTATATAACTAAATTTAATACACTAAATATATCATTCACGCTGCAAAAGAACAGTATTGCTTTTACAATTTTATTGCATCGTATAAAAAGAAATATAAAAGGACTTTGTTATAATTGAAGATACATATGTTTTGCATAGTTGACGAGCGGTTGATGGCGAGATGACTAGCAATCGCTGTATTTTTCTCGGCGAAATAACACCAGTCGATTTATAGCCTTCGCCAAATTTAAGAGCAAAATTATACATCTCATTTTATAATTATTCGCGATGAAAAGCGCACAATAAATATCGTAGAAATTTCATTTCTCGTTTACAAGATTTTTTTTTAATGTTGCACATTCAGATTACGCATTTCCTCGAGCACAATCTTCGTTTTATTTTATCATCACTTTTCTAAAAATCTTATTACTATAATTTTACACTTTTTAAAATATTTTTTTATTTCCAATTATTATCTTATAATGATAATATCACATTGTTTATTTTTATGTTTTAGTCTTTTATATTTTTTTTATTTTGTTGTATGACTATTGTAAGTATATTTAAATGTTCGAAGGATGCTCTATCGCGTAAATATTTCATAAAAGATCTATTTTCAGTAAAATTACACGTATAAAATACATCCATACGGATGTCATTGCGTTAACTGTCATTTAAAAATGTGGAAACGACAAAGATCTTATATTGTCGCGATGATGAAATTGTCGCCGCGACAATGCAATCGTTATATCACCGACAATATACAGCGTTATGCGCCAAGATTTGCTTGCATGTCGCACGCTTAATGGAATCTGCACGATTTTACTGTAACCGTAAATTGTTTTGCGCGCAACGTTTATGTCCCTCATATCGAACGTCCCACGTATTAATTCATCCTGTTCGAAAGAGAGAAAAAGAGAGAGAGAGAGAGAGAGAGAGAAAGAGATGATTTTCGCGAAGACGCTTCCCGCATACATTTGGCAAAATTCTCATCCATTCTTTATTGCACACTCATCAAACTGCATTCTTTGTCAAGATGCAGTTTCAAATTGTTCATTTACGAAAGTCGTTATTAATATATGTATAATAAAATAGTGAACTTGGATAGAAATATCTTATGCAAATTTAATAAATTAATTCTTACGTCAGAATCGTTTGTATTATTAACATTGAAAAATACAATCAAGATTTTTTATTTTAGTGTGGTATTTTTTTATTTTTTTTTTTTTTTATTTTACTAATTATATATAGACATTGTTTGGCTGAAGAAATTTATACTTTTTTATCCGATGAAAAACGTTTAAAATGTATCTCAAGTTTTGAAATGGATATCTTCTAAATTTTCGAATTATTTGCTTCATATACTTAATTTTGGACTTTGTATATCGTGAGTGTATATTAGAAATTTATATTTATGTTTATTTATTTTTATTTATTATTTATATTTATTATTATTATATTATTATTTATTATTTATATTTATTTATTTACTAAAACTAATTTTTGAATCAGGTACAAAAAGGTGAAAGTTATTTGACGATAACTAAATAACTTTCACCTTTATAAAGGTGAAGTTTATTCGTGAACGATTGTAACGATGTATGATGATTTCTACACGTGGAGTGTGACCATAATAAGATAATAATCGACCGTGTGTGAGGAAAGATGAGTTTGCCAAACGCGAAAGTAATCGATCGCACAAGACGTTTTTGCACGTGCATACCCCTCTGTATGTGTGTGCGTGTGCTAGCGCTATAATTAATATAATTATGCGGCTAGACTTTTAACTCCTTGCCCACGTCGCACAGAAGGATTACGATGTAGAAATTTTGCGAGTAGAAATTTTATAGAATGCGAAGATCCTTCTCGTCTAGCATGAGACGCGAAATTGGGTCGCTATCGCGTATCGATCTGTTCAAAAATATAATGATTGTTGCCATACTTTCTGTGACACGTGGGCGCTAGTTGTCTTGTATCATTCGAGGTATTATATCCATCGATAGATCCGTTTTCGAAATGAAAGAAATCGTTTCACCGAATGTCGACCGAATCTGAATGTCGCTCGATCTGAAATCCCGAGATCAATCGTATATTTGAGAAAAAGAGAAATGGTAGAACCGAATAATTTTCCCCTGATTCTGGTTAGATTATTCTAGAATATCGATTTCACTCCTTAGTTTTAACAGCAGTTCAATGTGTTCAATTTATAATTCGGATCTAATATTTTTTTCCTTTATAACTATTAACTCTATTAACTTTTTAAATGTCTACATTCATTGAATATCTGTATAAATTATTCGTATAAATTATGTTCGAGATTCAGTAGAAAGATTGAGGATATGATGATACAGTAAAATCATCTAAGAAATTTTGCGAGTGAGGGGCGCGGAAAAATTTCTAATTATATGACCCTTTTTTTCGTACATTTATTTTTCAGTATCACATCGAAAAATTATTCGGTTCTAGAAGAAAGAGGAATGAAATTGCATAATTTCTGATCGTGGTAGCTGCATTAAATTGCAGTTAGTCCGCGCGCGCGCGCGCGGGCAATCTCGAAATCTATGTCGTACATTTCTCTTCACTCTCGGTGACGCGACATTCATTTCTCATTATGCCACGCGGCCAAGATTAATCGGCCGTACCGCGGAAATTCGGCGACATCCGGCGACGACGGCGAGCAGACAAAGATGACAGGTGTACAGAGCTCATATTGCCAATTAAGCGGTGATTAAAGATCCATCCACATATGATCGGCGATGTCTTAATTGCGTGTCGTACTTTCGCTGCAATTAATTTTGCACGCGAGAGAGAAGCTTATATCGCTTCTGGGACAGTCGGTTAATCGTAAAGTAATTTTACGCGTCTTGCATTGTTTGCACGAATTTTTTTTTAGTGAGGAAAAAACGAAAACAGTAAGGAAATAAGAAAAACGCGAAATTTGAAAAATTAAATTTCTTATTCAAGGAGGAAAATATAAAGGATTTATATTTTAAATCATGAAAATTTTATTACTTATAAATTTTATTATTAATATTATTGAAATATAAAAGGATGCAATATGTAATGAAAATTTATATAATTTATAATCGAAGGACGAATAAATGACACAGTTTACGAATGCATAGAATTTCTTTTTCATTATAACGTATAAAGCTCATTATTGCAACGTATATATATCGATTTTACGATTATCGCGCTTTCAGAAATTAATCATGTGTAAATTAAAAATACCTAAGACGGTATCTAGACTGACAATTTAAAATATATGGAGCTCGATATCGAATATAAACGTCACGACATATGTATATAGATATCGACAAATAAATAACTCATTTCTCAAGCAGAATTTACGATGGTTATTTATGTCATCGCAAAAAATAAACAAAAAAACCTAACACAGTGTTTGTATTGATGAAACAAACTGAAATATAGAATGATATATCGACGTATGATTTGGCTTAAAATGCACAAACGTTTAAATTCATTAGTGATTATTTTGAGAAATTATACGAGGAAAATAAACGTGAAAGATACACCTTAAGTGTTTTACTTATACTAGTAATCAAGTTTTACTAAATTGGAATTTTTGAAATTAAAAATATAATAATTTTACAAATTTTTATTCGATCAAATTTCACATTAGTAAGATCTTTTTGATTCCGTTTTAAATTATAATTTTACATACATTTATATTTGCAAAAGAAATTCTATAAACTAAATATGCAAAATTTTCGCTTATAATTATTGATTTTATATTGATATAGGGAATTACCGATTGTCTGAAAATGTTCATATGTCATGTATATTCCATGAAATACATGTCGATTTATTTTAATCGCTCTGAAACACGAAAATCATTTTTGCGTGCTCGCAGAAATTCGATTAATTGAAACTCGTGATATATCAGCATAGGAAATAGACATCCTGATTTATCCATTCCTTCAAATTTAATATTTGATACTTTAATCCTAATTTAATATTTCTCATCCGGTTAAGAGAAGTCCTAAGTAGATATTCATTCATATTTTACCTTCTTAAATTATAAACAATATATTTTATGATTTAACAATTCTTCTAAATTTATTTTAAGTTTTTATAAAAAAAGTACAATACTCTTTTAAGAAGAAATATCTACAAAATTTAAATAATTTCTTTATTAAGTCTTTATTGTCTCTTGAAAAATAACTAGCTCTGATTTTGCTAAGAGAAAAAAAAGAATCATTAGTAATGTAACAGATCTTTAAACTCTAGTTACTTTTTATGAAAAAAGTTCTTTTTTTAAGAGTTGAACAAAATTTAATTTGAAAAATGATCGTTTCAAAAAAAATTAAAGTTTGAAATATAAATTAATTTTATCTAGAATTATGACAAGATCAATTTAAAAATTCACCATTTTTTAATTTTTCCGAAATTAAAAAAAAATAGTTTCTTGCGCATAGTCTGTCAATTTTTATATCTTCATCCCAATCCTTAATTTCCTCAGTCACGCGAAAATAGTCGCGATTGACTAATCTGCTAGATAATCGCTGTCCGAGTTGTCTTTCTTGAAACAAAACGCTCAGCTCTGAGAGAGGTGAATGCGAGACATATACAAGATACACTAGAATAAGAGGAGACCCGGGATGAGTTTTGCCGACTAACAGTGTGCCCCCCCTGTCTATCGTCTTCAAGGCGATGGTGTCGAATGTCCAGGTTCTCCAGCAGGCGGGCTCCGTGGAGAGGCTCAGCAGATTTCTCTGGTCCCTACCGGCATGCACCAGGTTGCATCGGCACGAGAGCGTCCTCAAGGCAAAGGCGATCGTCGCCTTCCATCGGGGCCAATTTAAGGAGCTCTACAGGATCCTGGAGAGTCATACCTTCAGCCCTAACAATCATCCCAAGCTGCAAGCCCTCTGGCTCAAGGCCCACTACATCGAGGCTGAGAGGCTACGTGGCAGGCCCCTCGGCGCAGTCGGTTAGTAAGAATCTTCTAACGATCTTCTCATTTTCTATATCGCACATGCGAAGAGTAAGATCAATCGAAATTATTCACGATAAAAATTTGTCAATGTATTGTCTCACAAATCATTCTTAATAATATCACTTCGATGGAGGCATCTTTCATTTTTAGTGATCATTATTAGACTTGCGATGGAAAAGTATTTTCGTAGATGGATAATAATGAGAGAGAGACGTAAATTGAATACAATTCTCTAAGTGGATAAATTAATCGTGCAACATTAGATGGATTAAGGGATTCTTGAAAGTACAAGCAATTGTCTAGATCGATTACGTTATTAAAGAAAAAATAATAAAATAAAGAATAAAATTTGTAAATATAGATATTAAATGTTATGTATCGAACTTTCCACATGTGCGAATACATTTATTGAGGATACTTAGTGTGTTAATCATTTTGAGATATGTCATTTTATCTATTTTCTATCTGTTAAGTTTCTAAACAAAATTTATGATATATAATATTATATTGTATTTTTTTTATATAATTTGGGGAATATAATTACGAAATATACTTGGATATTTCTACTATCTTTTTCTTATATTATCGCACAAAGTAATATAAGAGGGAAATATATATTGAAATAATATCATAATTACGTGACTTCTCCGCGTGATAATGGAAATTCTCCATTATTTTATGCAGCCCGCGGCTTGATCATTCGTTCATTATGATAGCTTATACGTTATTTATATATCTGTTATTCGAAATATACATATACATGTACATAGAATTGGCGTGAAATATTATTTCGCGGATGAAACTTAAACAATATCGGCGAGCGGCGTTTAAATCTCACGTTGCGTGAGCGCCACGTTTATTTTCGCGCTTAATGTTTATTGCGCGCGGCGATTAATAACGCGCGCGCGTTAGCAACGTAACGTTAACGGACGGAGTAAGTTAGCAGCGAGTGCAATTCGAGCTAATGAGCGGTATAGACTTGGCCCTATTTTACTCGCTCGGTCTTATTTGCGAGCGACGCGCGTAGAAGCCGTCGACGCCGTCGACCCGTTGCGCTCGTCCCAGAAACCAAATCCGTCCCTGAAAAAAGACAAGCTGAACAACAAAGCGCGCCTCTCGACTCGCATGCTAGCGGAATCAAAGTGCACGCTCTACGACGCCGCTTCCTCTTCCGTTCGTCCCGTAAATTCGACGCGATCGCCAGACGATGTCTCATTCATCGAAATATACATATATGTCTTATCAAAATATATCAAATTTTAAAAATGTTGATTTTTTTGATGATCAATAATCTTTTTTATCTTGAGATTAGATAAATTTTTATACGTATTAAAAATGTTTATTTATTTTTTTTTTTAAGACACTAATATTTTTAAGACACTATAGCCTCGTGACGATATTCTGGATCTTGAGATAAGGATGAAATATATCAGCGAGATGTTCAGAATTAATGCTCTTGTTAATTCATTTTTTGATGTTGATTTATCGAGAAATTATTTCTCCCTTTTCAGGAAAATATCGAGTGCGTCGTAAGTTTCCGCTACCGCGCACTATCTGGGACGGCGAGGAAACGTCTTACTGCTTTAAGGAAAAATCCAGGAGCGTTCTGAGGGATTGGTATGCCACCAATCCTTATCCGTCACCGCGCGAAAAGCGAGAATTGGCGGAGAGCACTGGTCTCACCACCACGCAAGTCAGCAATTGGTTCAAAAACCGGAGGCAGAGAGACCGCGCCGCCGAGCACAGGTGAGTTTTTGATACGTCAAGAGCCTTCAATTTCTAGTTTTAATTGATCGTTAACGATTCTTTCCTATATAAATATATAGGATGAAATGTATTTTATATTGAAAAAATTCTCTAGAGCAAAGACGTTAATATATACGATATCAAAATATAATTAATCAAAAGTGATAATAGGCCATTAAAATTGAACGTTTGTTTCCGTTGGACATATGCTCGCATTTTTACTATAAAATTTAATTATATTAAAAGTTGTTATTACTGAATTATTTTACTAAATAAATCAACTGAAATAATATTAAATCGGAGGGTTGAAGCGATTCTCAAAGTACAAATGCGGCTGATTTAATCGGCAGAATTAGTTGATTAAAAAATTAAATTAAAATTCTTGACGGTAACAACAGCTGTTTTATTAGACGCTTTATTTAGACATCCGAGCGATGAAGTTGCTCGTAGCCTCCGACGAAATAATCATATAATTGACGAACGTTAGCGCGTGGAATTTTCGTCCGCTCGCGGAATAGGAGCGCCCGCCCGTAGGAAAGTCCCCGTGTTGTTTGGAAGGTCGTTGCTCTACATCCGATTTTAGAAACGAGCGGAGGCCCCATAACTATGTACGTAACGCGATGCCTTCCGCCGCGTAGCATCGTGTCGCATGCATTCGTTCGCGGCGGGCCGTCCTCTTCTTCTCTCTTCACCCGCGAGCGAATAATAAATAAATAACTAACAGCTCGGCCATCTGGCCACGCTGACAGAACCGCCGATCTCTCGTGAATTCTTTCGCGTAATTTTGAATTGCGAAACGATGGAAATCCCTTGGAAGAGTCGAAAAATATCAGGTGCTAAAAACGAATGAATTCAATATAAATTTTTCATTCTATCTTCTTACTTTTGAGTGTCATATATTAAGATATTTAAGATTTTTACAAATTTAATTTACAGCTGCAAAACTTTTTTTCCCAAAAATAAGAAAAATTATAATTTTCTAATGGATCAAGTTTAAAATTTGATATTAATAATAAATAATCGTGTAGTGTAACATTAGAGTGATCTAAAATTCTTTCAAGAGATCTATATAATCCGTTATAATAATTCGAAAAGGCAAACATGCGAACGAATAATTAAATGAATAATATATTGAAATGATACGAAGACGTAGATGTTTTGTAGAATTTCCTGTAATTAATATGCGGCGAATAATACGTCTATATTCGTGATAATACTCTTCTAAAGCTATCGGATAAATCTATAGCATCCGTCAACTCGTTTACAGAATTCGTAAATATTCGTAAATTTTTGGATGCGAACTTTATTTCTAGAATTAATATTTCGTATATTCAGCAAATAATTGATTGAATTTGTCCAAAGCAAACATTTCTTACACAAATAGGAATTTCTGCCAAAGTAAACAGTAACACACAATTTTTTTAACCACGAAATCAGTAGTTTTATTCGATTCAAATTTTGATCATTGAAAACGAATATTACGTTTATTCTGGACAAGAATACAGTTTTTCACAATTACAGTATTAAAAATTTTTAGATACGAACTTCCTTCTAGAATTAATATTTCGTATATTCAGGGAATAATTGATTGAATTTGTCCAAAGCAAACATTTCTTACACAAATAGGAACTTCTGCCAAAGTAAATAGTAGCACACAATTTTCTTAAACCACGAAATCAGTAGTTTCATTCGATTCAAATTTCGATCGTTGAAAACAAATATTACGTTTACTCTTGACAAGAATACAGTTTTCCAAAATTACAATGAATTTTAATTCGTCGACGATCTCGAACCGCGTTTTGATTCTGCGAATGTTAATTCGCGAACACCTCGTAGACGCGCACGCATCTCTGACCTCCTGCCTCTGTCCATGGGAATACACAGAAGCCATAAGAAATTCGATACGTTCCCCATGGCATGACGTGTGCCTTGCCACGGTGGTGCTTCCCACTTCCTCCCTCGCGAGAAGACGTAACCGCGATTCGTATGTATCCTTCGATAAAGACGCTCTTTGCTAACGTTCTCGTTAACATATGGTCAGCAGAAATATTGAAACACGTATTATTTTGTGGAATACTCTTCTACGGATTCATTTCTAATTTCTGATCAAATCTCACGTCAGTCGCGGGTGATAAAGTGAACATTTTTAAAACATTAAATATATTAAACGTAGTCGATGTATTCATCTCATATAAATATATATACTTCAATTATTATTATTATTGAGTTTGACAAATTTTCTTAATTGTTTATATTTTTTAATTTCATGTATATTTTATAAATAGAAATGAAATTAAAAAAAGTCTTTTAAAAGAATGTAATAAAATATATTATTACAAACAAATTCGCTAAAGAACGAAAGAAAGTTTCAATAATTTTGACGTTAATTGCAGATTTATTGAAACAGATATGTATAACATGAATTAATTATTTATTAATTATTTATTTATTTATTACTTCGATTCGCGTCCTGTCAGGCTTGACTAAAAGATAGTGAAACTTCTCAGACCTGATTTAAAAAAAACTTTTTGTATTTCTATTTATAGCAATATAATAATTGTGACAACAATGCACGCGTGAATAATACGTTAAAGGGCTGTAATTATTTGGCTGTTTAACGTCCGCACGCTGTCGGAAATTAAGTCGATCTCGCAGACGCAGGGGCGGCGTTTCCCCCCCGGGGACAGGGGCGTCTCGTGGGCGTCTGCGGCAGGCAAAAAACGTCAAATACGGGACCGTAGTCCTCCCCCGGGAGCTGTTATCGAACGATTTAACTACCTCGTTTCAACACGATATAACGCGCACGCTCGACGAAACGCAGGCTATGATCGTAAAAAAAGAGCGAGACAAATTAATAAGAGATAATGAATTAATTATGTATAGTTTGCGGCAACGCGTAGCGTCTCACGCATTTATCAAAGCGATGCTTAATTTTTGATACGAATTCTGTCACGCTACGAGGATCGTGAAAGGATTTGAATAGCAATAATAAATATATAACAATAATTAATAACAAAAATAATATAAAAATATAATAAGAATAATTAATAACAAAAATAATATAAAAATCTAACGAATAAATTAGCAACCCTAATTTCCGGATCGTAATTTAATTCGCGTTAATTTTTCCCCTTACAAATTGTTTACGTGTCTTTCATCGCATAATTACAATGATGCACAATTGTATAGCAATTTGAGAACAATGCGTGCGTTCTACTGCGATTAATCGAGTGAACGGTCGAATGAATTAGTATATCGGTAATCGATTCCGATTACAGATAGACGCGTAGCGCGACAAACTCGAGCGGAAGTATATAAGGTCGAAATCGCGTTAAAGATAAGCTCGGATCCATATAAACACCGTGAATTCTCGAAACATCCGGAACACCGTTCGCTCTCCCCACGTTTCTCTTCCCGTCGTAACGGACTTTAAACAATGAAACGTCAATCGAGATAAATCCTGTGGACGGTGTTTTGCATACCGAAAAAAAATCGTCGATAAGAGAAGGAGGAAAGGAGGAAAGGTGACGAGTTTTACCCTTTTCTCTCTCTCTCTCTCTCTCTCCTCCCCGATCCTACTCTTAATTATCAGCGCGATTATTCGCGCCGACCGAGGCAGATACAGAATCGTCAGCATCCTGCACTCGGCGAAGTGCATCCGCTGCACTTTGAGAAACGCACGATGCGCAAGTCAAGACGGGACGACGTATCACCGATCGACGCGGGGGGAGGTGGGGGCGGAGGCGGGGGGTGCGACGGCGTCACCCGTTGCAGCCGCATCGCTGCCGACGATAACGGAACCGCTGTCGCTGTTCTCGGTACTCGGTGTCCGGTGACGACGGAACGTGCGTGTATCGCCCAAACGCGAGATAACGCGCGTTGATGCTGATTAAGATGATCGGCGCCGCCGCCGGATAATCTCCCCCTCCCCCGGACTTGCTCCCCTCGTTGCGTCGTTTCTCGAAATTTTCCGACGAACGTCGGTATCGCGTTGCAATAGAGCGAGGGGGGGAAGAGGCTGGCTTCCGCGCTACTTGAATTCGCTGAAAGCTTACCTTGATCCCGGGCTAAAAATGATTTAAATAAATGGGACGATCGCGCACATCTCGTAATTTGACGTATTCTTGCGTACTTTAAGAACCTTACCTAAGATATGGAAGGGGTCGTGATTATGCCTCGCGATTAGGAAAGCGAAATTCGATAATACGTGTATCGAGTTTCCCTTAATGAAAGTTACTTCTCCGAGCCTCTCCCTCCGAGAGAACGATAGAGAAAAAATCGGCCGGCGTGGTTTATTGATTGTAACGGATATAAAAAGTGCCAGTATTAAAACTGGCCGTGTTGCTCTTGAGGATTGAAAAGCATCCGAGTTTTTTTTTTCCTCTCCTCTTTTGCTCGAGTATCGATTTTATTGCTCGGCTTGAAAAATAAATGCCGCGTGTTTCGCGTTGGATCATTTTTTCCGCCTCGTCGAAAAGCGCCGTGCTATATGTCATTTAAAATGTGTCGATTTCGATCATCGAAACGAAAAACAAAAGGAAAATGGAGAGGAGAGGGGGGGGCGAAGGGGGAGCGGATGCTGGTGCATCCACGAGTGCATTGTGCCTTCATTCTTCACGGTCGAAAATAAACTCCCGGCCGCACGCGCTGGTCCCACCGTGTATATTTTTTTGCTCTTTCTCTCTCCCCCTCTCTTTTTCTGTTTCTCTAGAGAGCGACCGCGTTTGTATATATGGCGTTTAAAACGTCTTTATTACTGTCGCGCTGGTCCCGTTGATGGAAAGTCTCATCGTAATCTTCGAAGGGCTCGCTCTGAAGGACCAAGGACAATAACGTATGATGCTGGAAATAAATAAGGAGCAAAGTGCGTGGATATCTTCCCTTTATGGTCGTAAAACTTTTCTTCGATTTATCGTTTCTCGAATTTATTATTCTTTGAATTATTTAGCTGAGATTATTGGCATTAAAACGAGAATGTTTGAGTTACCTAAGCATATTTA